CCAGGAACAAATCATAATGGAAGTAATAAAACATCTTGAATCTAGAACACTGCATATCCCAATTTTGGGGATGCCAGCAGTGCTCAGAGGGAAAGGTACAGCCTCAAGCTCAGGTGGTGTCAGCCTGACATATAACGCACTCCATGGTCGTTCAGGACCGTTGCTGGGGTCCCTTATTGCAGCAGCACCACAGAATGCTGCCGTTCTCAATCTATTAATCCTTCCACACTCACCTGGGGCTCTGGTGGCGCAGTGGTAGGGCATTCGACTGCAAACCAAAAGGTCAGTGGTTCCAACCCCCAGCTGCTCTGTGGGAGAAAGAGGAGGCAGTCTGCTTCTGTGAACATTTACAGCTCTGGAAATCCTGTGGGGCAGCACTAGTCTGTCATGTAGGGTGGATATGAATTGGAATTGACTAGATGGCAGTGAGCTTTTTTGTTTTGTTTCTGCACTAATTAGCTGGAATCTTTTTACTAAACAAAACCTTTCCCTCGCCAACTATTTAGTTACTGTGAAACATAAGGGCAAAACAATAAAGGCAAAATGTGCTGTTTTTTTGCTGGCATCTTTATTTTCAGGCTAATGAGATGTTCCAGGAATAGTCAACCATGATTAACAAGATTCTCCCCCACCCCCAACATTATGGACTCACAGCTTCTGACGTTTCAGATATGCCCGTTAATGGCAGGATATAAACACCTTTTGAGGCACAAACTGTGTGTGGGGGGGGAGGGCTTCTGAGGCTGATTGAGTCCTGCCCCTCCCAACATTTTATCATGAAAATTTTCAACCCTATGTTGTTGTTGTTATGTGCCGTGGAGTCGGACTCCTCCTTGGGTTTCCGAAGCAGTATCACTATGGAAGTAGATTGCCCCACCTTCCTTCCGAGGAGTGGCTGGTGGGTTTGAACCACCAGCCCTCTGGTTAGCAGTCAAGTGCCTTAGGCACTACGCTACCAGAGCTCCCTTCAACCCCATAGAAAAGTTTAATTTTACGGTGAACATTCACACTACCCAGATCCTCTGCTGGGCCCTTCTCTGGAAACCACCACCAACCTCACTCATTTCCACCAGTCACTGCTTTCCCCTCAGTGTGCATCCTGCCAAAGCTTTCTGTGTATTTTACGTATTTATCAGTATTATCCACACCATAGGAGCTCTGGTAGTGTGGTGCCTAAGGTACTGGACTGCTAACCAGAAGGCTGGTGGTTCAAACCCACCAGCCA